TTCCTCCTTTCAAGTACAAATGGCCACTTTGATACAATGAAACTGTCGAAGTTTTCGTTGTAATTCGGATGACATTAAAGCCTTCATTGATTCCTATCATCCCATGAGTCTCTCCTTACAGGAAACATTCCTCAGAGCTGCGACCTTTAAGTAGTTTTCTTTATAGTGAAATAACAGATTGCTTGATGGGCGAGTTCATGGAGATGTGGCATTCGGGTTGACTAGCATAAACTGACCATGTCCATGCCACTAACTATACCCTTGGAGGCTATGACCATCCATATCTCCGTGGGTCACACCATCACTGTATGTTCTCTTTACCTGTCATCAGGAGAGATTTATGATCAATCAGACCTTGTTGATCTTATTGATCAGCTGCCATCTTCTTCTTCATATTGGGAGATTTTAATGGACACAATTTTCTCTGGGGTGGTGCTGATATTGATGTGGGGTTGTTCTATGGAGTGCATGCTTTCATATCATAACCTTCCTCTTTACAATACTGGTTCTGTTACCTATTTTCATGCACCTAGTCAATCTTTTACTGCTATTTATCTATCGTTCCATTCACCTTTGCTTTTTCATCATTATTCTTGGAGGGTTGAGAGTGACTCACTGCACAGTGATAATTTTCCATAATTTTGCAGAAGATTGGCCACAGTCGATGCCACCTAACTAGTGTGCCACAGTGGGAGTTGGAGCATGCTGACTAGCTATCCTTCATCACTCTCTCTCTGAACTCGATCCTGCTGTCATTAGGCTTCCATTTATTAATGACTGCATGGAGGCAGTAACTGGTTGTGCTATTTAAGCAGCTGTTCATTCCATACTCAAAACCTCGACACTTTCCCAAGGTATCCTCGTCTATGGTGGTATACAGCCTGCTAGCAGGCACAGAAGGCTCAGAAACAGGCCTGGGTTATATTTTGCGGGTATCCTATTTTTTCCAAATGCAAAGCATCGGAAATGTTGTGAAGAAGGCCCAGAAAGAAGGTACAGTGAACAACAAAATACACTATCAACAGTGTTAACCTTTACTGTCTATCGAGCTTTACACAGCTCTCTTTCCTGTTTCCGACTTCCTAAACTTGATCATGCCACTTAAAGTCTTGGCCATGACAGTAAATTTACCAAATTCACTTTAAGAACAACTCATAATTCCGTGTATGGGGGAGAGAAGCAGATGTTTCTGATCACTCCTGCCAAGTCCAGATAGATTTTCCAAATGCATTGCTTTCCACCAGGCTGGTGCCCATGCCTTGCTGGTCAGGCATCAAAGCCAGAAGGATGGGTCCCCTTTCCATCTTGCTCACTAATGTCCAGGAAGTTGCTGATGTACAGCACATCGCGAATACTTTCCAGCACTTCTGTCTCTTCTCCCAACGTCTTGGCCATCAAGTCTCGGGCTGAGATATTGCCACTTTCCTTTTGAGCAGATTGTCTCTATGATAATAACTGTCCATATACACTGGTGAAACTGAAGCTTACTCTTTATTGGTCTGGCAGTACATTGATCAGTCATGATGATATTCACTATGAGATGTCACTCCATCTCTCTCCTGTCTCTCATGCTCTTCTTCTAGCTGTTTTTAACCGGATTTGGCAGGAGAACGTTTTCCATATGCTTGGCACAAGGCTATTGTCATTCATTTTTAAAAGCCTAGGAAGGATCCCAAGAGTTCTTCTAATTATCATCCTATTGCTTTGACTAGCTGTCTCTGTATAGTTTAGAAGGTGATGATAAATGATCGTGCTGTTTGCTTCCTTGAATCAAACAACCTCCTCTCGCTCACCAAATGTGGTTTTTGTCGACATTGCTCTACCATGAACCAACGGATTCGACTCGAAATTTCGATCAGGGAAGACTTTCTCAAGAGAGAGCATTTTGTTTCTATCTTCTTTGATCTTAAGAGGTTTTATGATACAACATGGAGGTTTAACATTTTGTGAGACCTCCACTCCTATGGGTTGCATGCCATTTACCCATTTTTATTTGTAACTTTTATATATGACAGGAGATTTCAAGTCCATGTGGGTTCGACCCTGTCCCATTCTTTCACACAGGAACTTGGAGTCCCTCATGAGTGTGTCTTTAATGCCACCTTTTCAGTATAAAGATCAACGCTATCACTAAACAACTTCCTCCTACAGTTGCAAACATACTCTATGTTAATGACTTCCACATTTCTTGTCAGTATTCAAACATAAGGTTTATTGAGCAGCAGCTTCAGACTGCTCTAACTCGCTTGTTGGGATAGAACAGAGTGATTGGTTTCACCATCTCTTTGTCTAAGGCTGTTTGCATCCTTTTTTTGCCACCAGTGTGGTTTGCATTCTGATATAAAGCTCCATCTCGGTGGTGATGTTCTTCCTGAGGTGGCTGAGACAAAGTTATTGGTGCTTATCTTTGACTGTAAACTTATTTTCATTTCTTACATTAAGCAGCTTTGTGTCAAGTGTACAAGAGCACTAAACATCCTCAACATCCTCTCTTCCACCTTTTGGGGAGCAGATATACGTCCCATGTTCAAGATCTATCTTTCCCACATACAATTCAAGCTGAACTATAGCTCTTTGGTCTCTGGTTCTGCCAGGGTCTCTGCCTTGAAGATGTTTGACCCTGTGCACCATCTGGGGATTTGGCTCTGCACAAGGGCTTTCTGCACGTTAACAGTCCAGAGACTGTGCACTGAGTCCTATGAGACTCCTCTTCACTTCCGATGTTTGCAACTTCCTTTGCAATATGCTACCAAGCTATGACAGTTACCATGGCATCCCACTTGGGGTTGTGTCTTCCTTCCTTAGTGGGATTTACTCTTTCAGAATCAATGGTCACTTACTCCTCCATTTGGCCCTCATATCCAGGCAAAGCTGGCTGAATTGGGTTTGTTATTGGATGATGTTGCTGAATCTGATGACCAGCCCATTTCTCCATGGCTTGTTACCACCCACACCTGTGACCTTTCTTTGAATCATGAAGACAGATATTTCTGATTGGAAGTAACAACTTCTCTTTGCCGAACATCTTTCGAAACATTCTTGAGTTCCAGTTTTACCGAAGGTTCAAAATCAGGTGCCTCTGCCATGGTTTGTTGTAGTTCTGTGGTTGCTAACAGAATCCCCTCTACAGTTTCTATGTTCAATGCCGAGTTGTATGCCTCTTCACTTGCCTTGGATCACACAGAAGTTAAGCAGTACACTAACTATACTATTTACATTGACTTTCTTAGCTCTCTTCAGCTCACGGATTAGCTTCACGTGAGTTCTAACCTTGTTCTCTTAGATATTCAGAAACGACTGGCTACATTTTCTCTATCATTTGTTTCTATCTAGTTTTTTATTGATACCTGGCCATGTCGGTATTCTAGGGAATGATCATGCTCACACTGTAGCTAAGACCATCTGATCTGGTGCTGTCACAGCCATGCCTGTCCCATATATGAAATATGGTCCCGTAATCAAGGCCCAGCTTTGCACAAATTGGAAGTCAATTTGGGGTGAGCAACTTCATAACAAGCTTTTTCAAATCAAACATACTGTTGTCATTTCGCCACCTAGTTTCCATAAGGATGAAGGGAGGAAGTTCTCTTGTCTAGTCTTTGCATTAGTCACTGTTTTCGAACTCACTTTTTCTTTTATGTGGGGCTGAACCGCCAATGTGTGGCCTTTGTAACATTTAGGTCACAACTGCCCAAGTTTTACTTTCATGCTATCTTTACGAATGTGAGCAGCAGCAACATTTTAGACATGTATTTTCTAAGTATTTGCCCCTAACATTGAACGATGCCATTGGCTATGGTGACACTGTCCAACTTGACTGTGTTTTTAGTTTTTTGTGGATCATTGGCCTTTTAAATTCTACTTAGTTTTTTACCTGATTTTTGGGCATTGTTTAGCTTTTAACACGCTTTCTTTTTACATTTTCTAGTATTTCACTTCTGGCATTTTTACAGGATGTTTGGCACAGATAACCTAGTTACCTTGCACCAAACGACCAAACAATCAATCTTGGGGTTTATCGTTGACGTTGGACAGTGTCATTGGCAATGGTGACACTGTCCAGATTGATCGTGTTTTTTATATTCTGTTTAATTATTTACCTGATTTTTGGGCTTTCTTTCGCTATTGGGTTGTTTTTTTTATTTTTTTTTATACAGTTCTACTTCTTTCTGCATTTTTAACGGACGTTTGGCAGACTTACTGCTTTGCGTCATAAAGCTCCAAACAACCAACCAGCCAATCTTCCAATATGTAATTTGTATAACGTGCTATAAAAGAGTGAAGCTTCAACAAGGAATGAAAATGTAGACGAACAGATTCTAGTCACGTGATATTATTATATGATGGGAAGTCTCCATCATCACTCCGTTACTGGTTGTTGCCAAATGCGGTTTGTCAAAAACGAAAAGATGCGTGCAATGATTGGTGAATAAACTACCTACGTTATTATGTTTCGATTGTTATTGTTTGTTATTAAGCATAAAGCTATAGAAAGGATTGTCTGTGATCTGTGCCTCTGGGGGGGGGGGCTTAATTTTAGGATAGCTAGAAATTAGTTTAAATTATTGGCTGAAACCAGTTGGATGATGATGTAAAAAGTATTTTCTAAGATAATATCTTCATTAAAACAGAACATCCTCCACATAAAACTTCTATTTGCAATTCTTGTTGTGCTCATTAGCCTAACGTTAACGAAATGCAACATTATCGATATAGGTTGACAAATGATATGTAATAAGTTCATTTTCATACTTTATTGGTGTAATACTTAGTTATTATAGTATAACTGGAATAAATGTTCTCTTTTCATATCAGTACTTAAGCAATATAAAAACAATGCAACAAAAACTAGAGCAAAGATTTATACACACTTGCAGAACTGTGCTTAAAAAAAAAGAAGACTAAAATTTTCTCATTAGTGCCGAAGCTGGTTCGTAACATGAGGAAAATATCCTCTTGAGTTAAATTAAACATGTTTTTCTTTTATGCAGAGACGAAAGTAGAAAAGCCTGGAAAAGTGAACGAGATGAGAGAGTACATGGGTAAAATCTTGAAAGAAAAGTCAGATGGGGTTGGTATTTGTGGTATTATGATTAATCATGTTTCGGTAATTTGTTAAACAATATGTCGCTAATGTTAATCAGCTAACTTGAGACATAAATTACAGATTTAGAAACAAACAAAACTAAGAACAAGTGTATTAAAATAACAACATTCAAGTACGACAGAAAAGTATTTTAAGAACTTTTCCGTACTTTAGAATCGGGAAAATTTATTTATGTAATGTTCGAAACTTGAAGTTCTAACGTACAGAAATCTTCAATTTTTAACTGATATTTAACAAACTTTAAACTAAGAGAACGGAATCCTGTCAGAAACAGTAAATCTTTTGTTCTATAAACCACACCTACGTATCAACGAATATTTCATCATATTGTTATATTTAGACATAAATGACGTATCTAGAACGATGCTATATCGCTTTCATTTTATTTTCCTTACTTTACTTATTTTTCCATTTTCTTCTTTGTTTCAAGAATGTTACATACTTTCAGTATATGTCTAAATAAACATATCAAGTTGATACAATTTAGAACAATTATGTCACTCCTGACCATAAATTTAAATATATAATAAAATATTGTGAAAGCAAAGTTGTAGAATGTAATATAAAAGTTGATCTTATCAGAAAGCATTTTTCATCTCAAGCTTCCAGGTGCACTTCGAGAGTGTGAATTTGCAAAATTTCCTTACGAGAAGTATGAAGATTACTTGAATGAATTGTGCAAAGAACAAAAATATGCTGATGTACAGGTAATTACGAACTATTATATATATATATTTTTAATATACGCTTATGTAATTAATCTCTCAAATATCTTTAATTATTTATATTAAAATGTTAAATAATGATGTATTAGAGGAAAAGTTCTTTTTACAACCACCAGGATATCAGACGTTTGACAGTTCAAAGAAATGAGGTTTCAGTACTCTACGGGAATGGTAATTTGTGACTTTAAGAGTTGTTGTTGTTTTTAATATTGAAATGAAAACTTAATCAAACAGATTCGCTTACAGTTAGACACTTTACATAAATTAATTTTGAAACTCTAAACGGATATAAAATTCAGGAGGAAAAGTCTTCAAACTCTGGAAGTGTGTTTCGCTTATATATACGTTACAGTTTGGGAGTTATAAAGAAAGGAATGCATGAAGTAACTTTATAGTCACCCAGGACGGTGTTATATGTGATATCCTACAACAGAACTATAATTCAGTTCTGAAGTTTTAAACAAATACATTTTATGATTCTACAAACTTCTAATCTTGTGATATCTTACATGACATTAAGTCTTACTTATCTATGCATGAAGGAAATCAATCAATGTGTCGCTGAAACATTTGCAGCAGTTCAAAAGGATCCAGAATCTACACTCTCTGAAATGATCGCTAACTGTTCCTAAACACGTAAGTTAATAAGGTTAAACATTAGTTATCCCTCCACTTCCCCCACTCACGTTGATTGGTTGCTTCAGGGGAGGGAGGGGGGAGTCAATGATGATGACGTCATAGTTCTGACATTTGCCACCAGGGATTCATGTTAGCCCCCCCCCCCCCTCATGACTGTCGGACATGATGTCATACTTTCAAAACTTACCGTCGTTAGTAGCGCATTGCTGGGCCATCATCATAGCCCGCCATAATGGATAATTACGTAATAGCACCTTGAAGTAGAAACAGCCATGACTCATACAAAACGTATCTCAACATGTCTGTAATTAATCACTAATTAATTAATTATATCGTCTTGAAAAGGACTCTTAGCTCTAATTCATTTATAATTAAATCCTCATAGAAAGGACGATACAATAGTTATAACTTTCTGTTTAAAAATTATCAGTATTAAATTATTAGTTAATTAATACTATTATTTGAAGATAGGTTTTATATGCGGAAATATCTGTCAGCCGAGTTCTTGCACAGATCTTAAAATATAACGTTGATAAACGGAAACATCGGCACATGTAGATCTTGAAAGTAGAGTTGTTCAAAACTTGAAAATAACGTTGATAACAAGACCAACTGTTGATTGAGATGTTGCAAAGGAAATATCTGCTGAAGCTTTTTGCCAGACACTAATCATAGCAGAACCGTCTGGAAAATTATCTATAGGAAACAGTACAGCTTATAAAATGAGTCAGATCAACGTAGGCCGGTAAGGCAATCACTGATTAGCATGTCCTTAAGCTAATCAGGAAATGTCACAGACCTACTGAAGGATGTGTAAATTGTATAGGAATTCTTTTT